CCTCCATTTGCCCACTAGTCTTTAATCCATTTGAGCCATCTTCTTTGGGACTTTGCAAGCGTGAAGAAATCTCAGTTCAGTGACCCCCTAGCCAGCCCTAAAGTTACATCAGCAAAACATTATTTATCAGAACTCCTCACATAGCAGACATAAACTATGTGCTCTCCTCTTTCTCTTGTTCTCTGAGACACTTTCCCTGTGGGTTGTGATCTAAGTGAAAAGGTGCTGCACAGTCACTCAGACTGACCTCTTTGGCGCTCCTGTATCTGTGCCATCCTGTCCAGGCATTTTCTCTTGCAACGTGGTCTGAAAAAAGAATGGCAAAGTTCTGGCCCTCATCTTCAAAAACCCCTTCGAAATTTAAGGTCTGCAAGTGAAAGTGCAGAAAAGGAAAAGAACAACTCTTTATTAACAAATCTGAATAAACAACAATGGTGCAATCAAAACTTTTAAAAGGAACAAAACAAGGTCCTAATTCCCCAGGGGGGAAAAAACCCGCAGCAAACTGGGGTGGGAGGGAGGGCTGATGGCAAAATTGTCCCTGGCAGCTCATCATCTGCTCGCAGCCACGGGAGCGGCCGATGGTTTCGTAGAAAGAGTCCTTCGTCCCACGGGCGCAGTCTGAACTCAGGCAGCTCTGATAATGCAGCCCCCACGCCCCAAGGGCATCTCACTCCGAAATGTGGGTCTCTCTCTCAGTCGCTCTCCAAGCAGTATCCGGCAGGGAAAAGAAAAAAAACTTCCCAGCAGGAGGAGAAAAAAAAAAAAAAAAAAAGGCCCCGAAAAAAAACCCAAAAGCAGCTCCTGCTCTGCCCATCGGTGGGAAAAAACCTCAATCCTCCGGGCAAAAGGGCTCCCGAGGCGTGGCCCTGCCTGCTCTTTAGAGGGTCCCCCGCCCGCTCCGTGCCCAGCGGGCGCTGCTCCACTCCTGACTCCCCCCTCCAGCACCAAACAGGCTGGGGGGGAGAGGGGAGAGGCTACACTGGGAAAAAATTCCAACATCTCTTTTCAAACCTATGACAATCTTTTTCACCAGGAGGATAGTCAAGCCCTTGCTCAGGTTACCCAGGTTGTGCATCCTTATCCTTGCAAAGCTGAGAAAACCTCTGATGCCCATGGTTTGAGCAGAATTGTGGACTAGCTACCTCCAGAGGTCCCTTCCAACCTGAATTACTCCCATTCTATGTATTGTACTTCCTCAGATCTGAGAAGGAAGACACACACACTTGCTCTCATTGCCCCCTATTTCTAATGAGATGTGCCATCAGCTGCTCCAAGGCTCTGATTTCAAGGTTAGAACCAGGCATGAGGCCACCCAAAGGATACTGTGGAGAAGGTCCCTAAATGACGTGCAGACCAAAATTCAGCATTATTTAGACAATAGAGTGACAGTCTTGCTGCCAAGTTTTTTCAGAAGCACTGTGTCCCAAGGGCTCACTGCTAGCACAGCATCCTGAAATATGAGGTAGGAAGAGAATCAGTACTTCAGAAGTGACCTGGCTGAAGACAAGCCCTGCCTCAGGCAACATGAAGCCCTATGGTGGGAAGGCCAGACTGGCTCTCAGCAGAGACTGGTACAAAGCAGGAGGCACCAGCATTGTGCTGGTGCTGCTGGAGGGGAGGCACAGAAACCACGTTTAGTTCTCTTATTCAAGTCCCCGAGGAACCCAGAAGATGCCAGTGTTCTGGAATATGCAGTCTTCTATGTTAAGCTAGGAGAGCTTTCTCCAGTCTCCACAAATGGTTCTTTCTACAAGCCCTGTAGGATTCTGAAGTTGTATCTCTGAATTCATGTCACACAGGTCCCCTGTTGCAGGCCCAGTATGAAACTATATCCTCTTTTTCTAGCAGAATGGTTATACCAACCTTTTGTGATGCCTCCATATTTCAGATACCTCCAGAGCAAGACTGGACTGGTAGTGCCATCTTGGCTTGTCCCTTAACGGTAGCAGCTCTGAGTGGCCTGGACACACGGATGACAGCCCAGAAGGGGGAGGGAGACTGAAGCTCCCAGTTGGACACTGCTGTAACACCAAACTGAACAGTGCCAGGTGTGAGAGCTCAGCTGGCAACACCAGTTAATGGTTCAGGCATTCCCCTGCATGGCTGTGGCCTGTGTCAGCTCACATGTCCCCTGGCAGAGCAACAGCACAGCCAAGGAGTGAGCACAGGCGAGAACCACCACAGCCACTAGGCACTCTGGACACACCTTAGAAGCAAACTGTGTGGGCAGGGCCAGGCAGCAGGGCCACCAAAATCTCGAGCTGGACAGAGCTAGATCAGCACACTTCTGGGAGGGGAGAGGAGTTGTGTCCCAAACAGGGCAGCCTTAAGTGCCCTTGGTGAATACTGTGAGGGAGAAGACTACAGTTCTGTGACCACACAACTGCTCTGCTTGCCTCTGCAGCATCCAGGTGGTCCCAGGCCATCACTTTGTGGTCCAGTCCTCAGCAGAGGCACCAGCAACAGGGAGAAGCTGTGAGGCTGTGCCTCAAATCAAAGGAGAGGCTGAAAGCTGTGGGGGACCTGGGCTGTGGTGGAGTGTATTGGAATGGCCACAGCAGTGGATGGTGGAGATGAATGGGGGCAGGTCAAGAGACTGAAGGGCAGTCAGAAGGAATATGGGATAACTTTCAAAGCAATGTATGCTTCCCATCTGCCAAATCAGGGCAATAATCCCAAAAGCAGAGGGGACTTGCTCCACCCTCCGCAGCCCCAGCAGAGGGTTCTGACAGGATGATTCCTGACAGATGTTTGTTTGACCATTACTTACAGTCTTCCAGAGACAGTGATGGTCCATCCACCTCAACAAACTTAATTACTAAGAAAATTTTCCTTAGTGTGTCACTTCATTTTCTCCTCTCTAAATTCCCATTTCTTGTCACCAAGGAGCAAAGCTCCTGGATGTTTTCTGAGGTCCCAGTCATTCCATACTGGCACTAACCATATTCTCTTGTTTCAGTTTGTGCATGCAAAAAAATGAAATAAAAATATAAGATCAAGGTACTTCTCAATAATTTTCATGCTATTTATTTTGTAGTATTTCTGTACTGGCTATTCTACTAATGATAAAATGTGTAAAAATTGCCTCAAATAAATTGTCTTCTTTCTGCAGTGCACCAAAAACATAGCTTCAAATGCAGCAGTTGTGAAATATTCATTTAACTTACATGCCTCTCTGCCCTGATGCTGGTTATAGCCAGGCTGTGTCACACAACTTCTGAAAAAGCTACAGGTCTTATCCGCTTCATGTGGATATGATACAGGCCACAGAAAATGCAGATATCAGATCCTGCTCTCCAGAAACTTTCTCAGCCTACATAAATGATTAATAATATACAGCAGAAATACTGACATCCTGCACACACATGCGCAATTTCCTCCTACCAGGTTACAAAGCATGGTAGAATTGGATAATGTGTCACCTCCTCACACAAGCCCAGCTCCCTTGTTTGCACTTCCCTTGTTACAAAGCTTATTTGATGTGTTGTTGATCTTATATACACACATGATCACTGCAGAGACCACGGACAAGTTGTTATGGGATGCAAAATTCCAGACAGAAAGTCTGGAATTGGCGAGGAGTTCCCAGTTACATGCACAGAACGGGGGAGCAGCAGAGCTGGCAATTACCACTCTGTACCTTAGGAATAAAAGCATGGAAAGTTTCAGGTAGGTTATGAGATTGCACAAGGTTCAGTAACACGAGAGGAGAGCCTCAAGATGAACACTTTTTGAAAAGTATTAGTTTTTGGAAAGCCTGTTTAAATTCTTCATTAAAAGCTGTATAAATGACTGGATTGATCAATGAATTCAGGTAACCCAACCAGGTAAAAAAGTCCAGTAGGATGGGATGAAACCAACAGGCATCTTGGCAAATGGGTAGGACTAGGGACATGACAAAAAAAGGCAGCCAGCAGAAAATGAAAGCTCCCAAAATAATGCCTAAAGTTTTGGTGGCTTTCCTTTCTCTTGCAGCAGAAATTCTTTTCCTTTCCAGGACACTGTCTGCAAGTTTTATTTTAACATGATTGATAAATACGGGGGATCCCCCTGAGTTGGAATGCCCCTCATGGAGGCTGGCATTAATGGAGCAGAGAGAGGAGCCTGCAGAGCCGGTGATCAGGTGTGCAGTAGTAAAACGTTTCCCACATAACGAGGGTGGTTTCAGAATTCTGGATCGAGCTGCTGCGTAAATTCTACCATACAATATCAGGAGGAGCACAGTAGGGATGTAGAAAGCTCCACAAGTGGAATAGATTGTGTAGGTAATTTGATCTGTGTTCACAGCACACTTTGCAATTTCTTCGTGAGCTTTCACTTGCCTCCAGAAAAATGGGGGCACAGAAATGCTGACAGAAATCATCCAGACCACTGCGATCATGAGGGCTGCTCGGCCAGCAGTGCGGCGTTTGGTGTATTCCAGAGCGTCTGTGATAGCCCAGTACCTGTCCAGGGCAATAACACAGAGGTGCAGGATGGAGGCTGTGCAGCAGGTGATGTCTGATGACAACCAGATATCACACAGCACCTGGCCAAAGGCCCACGTGTGGGTGACAGTGTAAGCAATACTGATGGGCATGACCAGGACAGACACTAAAAGATCAGTCACTGCCAAGGAGCCAATGAGGTAATTTGCAGGTGTGTGGAGCTTTCTAGTTAGAAAAATTGTAATAATAACAAAAACATTTGCAAGGATTGTTGCCAAAGTTATAACAGACAGAAGGATTGACAGGGAAATCTTCAGCCCTAAGAGTGTCCTTTCATCCCAAGCCAGTGGTGTTTCAGTGAAATTTAATGACTTATTTGCTGAGCTCTGGAGAGAGAACTCTGCTGAATGGTTGTACTGAGTCATCCTCTGCTCTGATTTCACCTTCCAGTGTAATCTTCCTAGGGCAATGAAGAAAGATGCTCACTTTTTTTGATGGATAGAACTTTCCATACTTCAGTCCAACACTGAAGAAATATTAACATGTTGAAAACTTGAGCTGACACAGCACGAGGTATTCTCTGAAACAAGAGCTTCCATCACATCACATCAATGACATCATTGTTAAAGCAAAACGTTAACATAATCATCCAGATATCAATCTGGTGGACGACAATGCCAGCAGTACTACTGACGAGAACTCAGGTGAGTTTCATTTTCATCTTGAAGATGACTGTCTTTTATTCTGAACTAACCTTCTGCAAAGCTGCAAATCAATACTGAAGGGTGAGAGACAGAAAACAAACATCTGGGCATGTAGTTAATGTCCCTTTGCTTGGGATAAAGCTGCCCTCAAGAGTATTTTCCCTTTCTAATAGCTGACTGTCATGTTTTTGGTATTTACAAGGGACACTTTATTAGTAGAGTACTCAAGATACAAAACAATACAGTGTGGATTCCTTCTGTAAATATAATTTCTGCCAGATTTGCAAATCAAGACTTCTTTTTCAAGAGTACAGCTCTTTGTTTTTATTTATTTCTCCAGACCAATCAGGTTTTCTCTCAACATTTAGTCTTTGAATGCTGAAGTCAGATGTTCAGTACCAGAACTCAATGTGTTGGCACACATTATAGCACAGCATGCAATCTACAGGCTTTCCATACTTTTCCTTGGATTCACTTAGTGTAACCTGAAGTCTTTACAAACCTGAAGAAAACATCCTAGGACAGATTTCCTTCAGGCCTTTCACTCACTTCCACCCAGGAGTACCAGAATTACTTACATTGTGCCAGCCCAGCCCTTCTTGAAAGGCATCCTGAATGTGGGCCATGAACGGCTCTGCAGTGTGCTATGAGGGCTACAAAGAGAGACACTGAACTTCTCCAAGGAGATAACCATCAGGCCAGCCTTCTCCCAGTCCTCCAGGAGAAATGCCTCTCTCAGTCATCACTGGTACAGATTCGTGCATCCAGCAGAGAATGGACAGTCGGTTGATTGGAAATCTGTGGAGCAAGAGCAGCATGTATTCCACATGAATCATTAGCATTTTGATGTCAAACAGCCTCTCTTAAGCTCCCAAACCTAACATAAACAACACTTTTCAGTTTGGTGTGTTTGATTTTTTTATAAACAACCACCTTTTGTGAGTTAAAATGATTTTTAGAGATGCTTTTTCTTTTGAGGTGTACTTTTCCAATTGGACATGAGTCTCTTATACTAGACTATTACTTTCTTGGTTTTTTTTTTTTTCTCCAGGAAGGGGAAGATCCCTTCCTAATAACCATTTTTGTGACACTGAGCAAAGGTGCAAGTACGAGAATTTTGAACATTAAAATGCTTATGGTGACTGAAGTCCATCAAATCCTGTCTCTGACAATGGTCTATACATTCAGCTCAACCTTGTTGCCTTTTCCTGACACTTTGCCAACACTGATATGTTCTTTTGGAGACAGAGACCAGAACCACAAACACTTGCTGAATATGTGGATACACCACAGATTTATACTGCAGCATAATGGTGTTTTCTCAGTTTCTTTCCTCATGATTCCTGAAATTTACTTTGCTTTTTCAATCATTGCATGGCACTGATCTGACATTTCCACAGAGCAGTCCCAATTAATATAATTCCAAATACCCTGAGTGGCAATATCAGCTTTTTTTTCACATCTATGAGTACTATATTCCTTCTCCCACTTTTTAACTAAGGTTCTTTGCAACTCTGCACAGCCAGTCCTTGTCTTTATTACTCTGAAGACCTTTGTTTCATCATTACATGTCATCACCCCACTATTCATGTACTTTCCAGATCACTCAAAGTCTCTTGAGAGTCTAAGTAATTATATTGGTTGAACTTCACTCACTCCATATATTCATCTGCTTTTCTTAATTACTTCAACAGATTGGTGAGACATAACTTACCTTCACTGAAGCCTGAACTTTGACTGTTCTCCAGAACACCATATTTACTCTGTGCACAGTAATACTATTGTTTATTGTAATTGCTGCCAACTGGCTATGTGTACAGATGTGTACAGATGTGTACAGATGTTGGGTTATGGTTCAGCATTGTCCAGATCCCTTTGGGAAGTGACACCACAGCGGTTGTCTTGCAGTTGGCAGGTGCAAAGGGAGTTGAAGTAGAGGCTGAGGCTCCCACTGATCCCACTGCACTTTGCATCTTGAGTTGCACTGAACTCTCTAGCTGAGCACTGTCTCATAGTGAAGTTATGCTGTTGTTCCCTTTGGCCAGAAATAAAAGAATCCACTTATAAATATCCCCCAGTTTCTCTTTAGTGAACAGGGATGCTGAAGTTAATCTAGTTTCTCTGTGAGAAATTTCCTTTATCTTCTCTGGGTTTATTTTGTTCCATAGCTTTAGCATCCCTTTACCTCTCTGACACAGTACTGGTTCACTTCAGAGCTATCTTACAGAGCCTAAGAAATCTCTTACCTGAGCACTGGGCTGACTGCACATCCCACGCAGGAGAAAAGCTAAACCAAAACCACCAGACAGACTGATTAGCAATATTAAAGACAATGACTGTATTTCTTAAAAACTAAAGCCAATCTTGATTTCAGTTATTGAGAAAAGTGATATCGAGCTCTTTCCATATAATGTATCAGCCTTTGTTCTGTGTTAGAATAATTCCAGCAACATGAACTAAAGGGAAGTGCATCTCACCCACCCACCCATACATGAACAAGCCTATTAGTAGTCCTACTGCTTCCAACACCTCTCAATCACCATGGGAAAAAAACAAGTTGATGTGAAACATGGCATTTTCAGTGAAATGAACTAGTCTAGAGTTCAAATGAATTATTAATCTTTAACATACTGGTAAAATGGACACTCCTACACTGGGAGAAAGTCTTACTGAAACCAAATAATGTGTTAACTTATCTTGAGTTAGTGAATTAATTAAGTGATGTCTCAGAACAAATTGTTTACAATAATGTTCCAAGTCAGGTATTTATCCTGTACTCAGAAAAAGTTACCATCTAGATAAAATGAACATACTCCCAATAATTTAGTATTTCAATTAAATTATCTTTTACTCAACTAAAAAATGCTGAACAGAGGGAAATAATTTTCCTGGAAAAAAAAAAAGGAAAAACATTTGCATAAACTACAGACACTGAAAAAATGACATTAGATGTTGAGCAGACATTGAGTGTAAGGCCTTGCACATAACTGCCTACTAAAGACAGTGGAACACAAATGCCAAGGCACACACCCCCTGAACCACCAGAGCCCAGGGGGAGGAAGCGGCTGCCCTGCACGTTCCCCGAGAGCAGGGACAGGAGGAGCTGCCTGGGCACAGCTCCAGGGCTCTGGAGCACTGGGAGAACCTGGTTGTTGGGGAATACATCCAGTGCCAGGAGCTCGGGGTGCAGCTGCAGTGGAGCTGCGGGTTGTGCTCCGTGGGACAGGAGCCCAAGGCCAAAGGCCGTGAACTGCAAACCCTCTGGACAACAAAGGGCCCCGGGACCTGTCCCAGCCAGAGGATGTGACACTCAGAGGCAGCGGCGCCGACAACCCCCAGACTTTCCTGTGCTTGGACTGTGAGAGGGTAAAAGCCCAGGGGTTCCTTTGCTCTGGTCCCTCCTAAGAGGCACCACCTCTGTTATTTTGCTATTGCACCAGGATCAAATGACTTTTAGGATCGAGACGTCTGAGACTCAGCAATGGGAAACCTGGGGGGGAGCCGGTGAGAAAACCAGGTCCGACTGTGTGAGGATGGGGGAGCAGCTGTGAAGGGCCTTGGGTCCCAGCTCAGGTGGTGAGAGTGAGTGCCAGGGGGGCTCCTGGAAGGTCAGACAGGGAAGTTTCCTTAATACTGGTGATGTTATCACTTGTAGATAAGACAGCACTATTGTCTCCAAGCCAGCCTGGCCAGCGCTCATTGCCTGCAGGCAGCTGTGTGCACAGTGTGGATCAGCCCGTGCCAGCCCTCTGGCCCCCCCAAGGCAGGGCATGGCAGGTTTGTCACCCACATTTCACAGGATGGGAATCCTCTCAGATGCTTTGGCTGCATCAACACTGTCCTTGTCTCATCTTTTCTTGGACTTCACCTGGTGCTCTTGGCCATGGACTGTGGGCATTTTTTTCACTTTAAAGTTTCTGAAATAAATTGAAGATGATGTCAGAGCCAACCAGAGTGAGGTTTTCACAGCACAGCACATGTGATGTACAACGCCTAGCTGGAGCAAACCAGTGTTGTCTTAGATGCTTGCAGGTGAGGCTTCCTAAAGAGCAGTCAGGAACCACACAGAGCAAAGGAGAGCACACCTGTCCTCAGTTTATCCATGCTGGTGTCTCCAGTAGTTTATCCCCACTACTGTTCCCGTGGATTGTCCACACTACTGCACTGAGCAGCATGCAGGTGTGGCAGCTGAGGGAGGATTGGGCAACTATAGAGCTGTGCAGTGAGAATGATGAGAAACCAAGGCACAGAGTGACCCTGGGGTGAAGAAACATGATGATACAACCATAGCAAGCAGCACAGTCACCAGAGCCTCCTCTGCAACCAGGAGGGACAGAACAGCTCGTCCTGACTGCAAGGCCACAGAAACCAGCACTGCCCTCTGCAGCTGCCTCCCTCCTGCATCCCAAATTTGATCTGGGCTGACTGTGGCTCTCATTTATATACCTCCAACAGTACAGAAAGTTGCATGGGAAGGACCTTTTGATCCCTGTATCCACACACTCAGTAGTTCCTGGAAAGTCCAGGAGGTAAGGAGATGTGTAATAATGTCTTGGTAACCTGGAGAGATTCTTTTTCATTAATCAGAAAGAAGGAAAGAGCATTTAAATGGAGAGACAATTTCAGACAGTGCAGTGCTACTTAACTTAGCAGAAAGCTCAGCTCAGGGACTGGAAGGTGAAGCAAGATCATGTGCAATGTGAAAAGAAGACACACTTTAGCTGTTGGTGATAGCATTGGGACTGCTTCACTGTTCAGGGTCCTCCCTTAAAACCAGGTACTTCTTAAGAAAAGGTGTTTTGCATCCCAGCTCCGCAGTTAAACTCACAGAGCAAGGGCAAGGTGGCAGGGTAGGGTCCCTAGGAGGAAAAAATGAGTTGTGGGTGTGCCAAGGCAGAACACTGGCAGGCAGGAGGAGGCTGGGGGGTACCACGAGCTCCTTAGGAATGAGTGCCATCGTGTGGGATCCAGGCAGGAGCTGCAGAGACCACTCAGATGCTCAGATGCCAGGGATGCTCAATCCCA